CAGGAGCCTTGATCTTTCAGCAGGGGCTTCGGGCAAAGTGGGGTTAAGTATCTTTCCCAAGGACACAACTGCAGGAGACATCAGTTCGAGTCAGTGGAGAACGTCTTGTGTGGAGATTGAACCCATGACCTTCAGGCTCAAAGGCCAATGCTCTACACCAACTGAGCCACTGCACTCCCTGTGTTGGAATTCTCTGATCTGTTGTTGAGGAATTGACAACTTTGTAAAGTCCTTTGATCGACTCCTGGCAACTATTTAATGCTATATGTCGTTGGAATGTTGTTATCATTTTAATATTTCCTTTATGTGGCTGGATATATTTCACACTGAAGTAGATTCATCTCAGGATCCAGGAAGTCTGGGGGCTTGTATGTCTTTGTTGTGTTGCTTTGTCCTGTCCTTTCTGTATTTGGAGGTGTGTCTTGTCCGATCAAAAGAGTTTGCAGCTTTGACTGAGTTAGATCTGGTTTTGGAAGCAAAGATCACTAAGATTTAAAATGCCAGAACGATGTCTTTTGTGTTTCTGTCGGGCAGGACTGTGGCTAATGCTGGTTTTGAGAACCATCATCAATTTTCTGTTTTAGACAATTTTCTTTTCTGAATCAGTAGCGTTTTCATACCGTGTTGTTTTGGTGTTTTTTTATCACCACAGAGAAGAAGGAATGTCAAAACAGACAGAATAAGTTTTCTGAAATGTAAGAATTGTATTTCCAATATGTCAAATTCAACACTCTGCTCCGGTCTCTCCTCTGGTCTCTCGCTGGTCTTTCTCTGGTCTCTGTCTGGTCTCTCTCTGGTCTCCAATCTAGTCTCTCTCTCTGGTCTCTCTCTGGACTCTCCTACGGTCTCTCCTCTGGTCTTTCTCTGGTCTGGTCTCTTTCTCTAGTTTCTCCTCTGGTCTCTCTCTGGTCTCGGTCTGGTCTCTCTCTGGACTCTCCTACGGTCTCTCCTCTGGTCTTTCTCTGGTCTCTGGTCTGGTCTCTTTCTCTGGTTTCTCCTCTGGTCTCTCTCTGGTCTCTGCTCTGATCGCATTGGTCTCTCTCTTGTCTCTGCCCTGGTCTCTGCTCTGGTCTCAGCCGCAGTCTCGGCCCCGGTCTCGGCCCCGGTCTCGGTCTCGGCCCCGGTCTCGGTCTCGGCCCCGGTCTCGGTCTCGGCCCCGGTTTCGGCCCCGGTCTTGGCCCTGGTCTCGGTCTTGGCCCCGGTCTCGGCCCCGGTCTCGGCCCCGGTCTCGGCCCCGGTCTCCCGGTCTCGGCCCCGGTCTCCCGGTCTCGGCCCCGGTCTCCCGGTCTCGGCCCCGGTCTCGGCCCCGGTCTCGGCCCCGGTCTCGGCCCCGGTCTCGGCCCCGGTCTCGGCCCCGGTCTCGGCCCCGGTCTCGGCCCCGGTCTCGGCCCCGGTCTCGGCCCTAGTCTCGTCCCTGGTCCCCTTTAAAAGCATAATCACTGCATTTCCAACTTTGCTTTAGTTCCAGCATGTTTTGTCTTACTGCTCTTTTGCTGATATTGACCAAATATCATATTTATTCCTTTTAACGATCTTTTACTAAAACATCCACTCACCTCGTGCTCGGACCTGCTTTTGAGACGCTTTGGTTGAGATTCAGAATTGACCAAAAGGCAGATCGCCGAGCCGCTGAAGCCACACGTATGGATTAGACTTTTGTTAAACCCTCAAATCAATTCAACGACTGCAGCTACATCAAGAAAACTCCCTTTACACCAGCGCTAAACGGTCTTCAGGGAGTCCAGATCCAGACGTGGACTTACTCTGAAATCTCTCTTGTTTCTAAATCCCTCCACAGTCTGGGCCGGCGCCTTCATACATGTATGATCAGAGACTTGTGTGCAGTCTCAGCTCCTCTGGAGTTAGCCTAGCATTAGCCCTCCATAAACTCTGGCCCATGATCATTTCCTACACGTCTGCAGTGTCATACGCAAATCACACCAAACTTTACTGTAAAATATTTTAAGTAATACGTCTATATTTCTTCTAAATGTTACTACAGTATATCTGGTCTCTGCTCTGGTCTCCATAGAATGATAGGACCGTGAAGCGCGGAGGAACGAGACTTTCTTTTGTCTGTTTCTCTGAGTAAGCAGAAACCGGTAACAAAGACACAGAAGTTTCAGGTTAGCCTCCGCCGCTTGTTTACCTCAGCTGTCTGTGCTAACCACAGACCTGTGGCTTTTCTCAAGAAAGTGGGGGCCAGTGGTCCGCTGTGATTGGTCACAATCTGGACCCAAAACAAATTATCTTCCTTGTTGCACAAAAATGACACACAAGAACAAATCTGCGCTACTTATTCTTCAAAAGGACGTTTATCCAGATGCACTGCATGGATTGGATTTAGCTAATGAATACAAACATAAAGTGAATCCAGCTTTAATTCTCTTCACACACATCAAAGGCCAAACAACACCATCCATTCACTCACTCGTTACATTCAGATCTATTGTACATGTTTTCAGTGGTTGGAGAAACAGAAGCACCTGGAAGAAACTTACGCAGACACGGGGAGAACATGCAAACTCCGCTCAGAAAAGCCCTGTACTGACCGGGATTTGAACTCAGGACCTTCTCCACTCAGGCACCGTGTCGCCCACAATCTAGTTCACCCCACAATGCAGAATTTCCTCATTTTTAACTGTTTTTCACTCCACAAATCTGAGTAAGAACCGGGTGCAGTGCGTTTGACGGTGATGACGGTGATGACTTTTCTGACAGTCTATTGTTTCGTGGCACATTTAGATCGGCTCGAGCTGTCGGCAGTTTCTGAGCTTGTGCTTCAGCAGCTGTTGCCGTTAAAACAGTGAAATCTCAGCAGCAGAAAGCCCCCGTCTCCATCCACCCACTCACACTCTGCACTGTGCTCTCTCTGTGGCGGAGTAACGGCTGCAAACTCGTCCACGAGCCTTTTACGAACAACAGGACACAGTGTGGAGTCAACTACTTTACTCAGACCTGTGACACACCAAAAATATACGATTTTAGTCACAGCGGACATACTGCCCCTCCCCGCGGCTTTTTGAGGGTAGGTAATATCTTGACAGGATTTTCAAATGTTGACAGCAATTCCACATGAATAATGCAACAAAACAAAATAAATATACATTGGAGGTAGGGGAGTAATCAACCGGAGCACAAATGCACAAATAAAAACATGTTTCACATAAAAATTATTTAAATCATACCTGTGACTGACAAACAATATACATTTTTAGTCACAGCCGACACACTGGCTCCCCCTACTGGATGAAAATGGCCCGTGAGCATGGCCATACACTTGAGGCACATGGTAAGCTAGCTCAATAAAAAGTACAGAAAAACTAAAAATGTGCAAAAGTGCGTTCATTGCATCTTAATACATTTCCTACTGAACATGTTTTAGTGAATATTGGGGAAAATAAAGCTAAATGATTGAAAACATGTATTTTTCACAGAGACAGAACTCACCCTCTGAAGAGGCTTTGAGAGGGAAAGTTTAGTACCAAAATAAAACACAGGGGGGCAGCGCGCACGTCCGGGAATTTCAAAATAAAACGTCAAAATAATAAAATTCACACAAAATTACATTTAGAAATATAACACAATCAGGAATAGTAAACAAAAAAACATAATGTGCCTTTCTGTCTCCGTTACAGATGTTTAAACAGAGACGCTGCAAAACAATTAGAAAAACCCCCCAGGCTTTCATGTTCTGGAACAATCTTCCTGAATATGTGAGACAGGTTAGAACAGTTCTGTTTAGCTGCGACAAAGGAGGGATTTTATATTTTTATTTTTAATGTACTGTGATTATTTATGTTCTTGTTATTTTTGTTCAGCTCTCTGAGTTTCCTCGTGTATGAAATGTGCTATACAAATAAACTTGCCGTCTTATTCAAAGTGCACAGACGACACGACGACGAAAAACAATGTAGTTCTAGCACCGAGCCAATAGGGGGCAGTGCATCAGTATTATTATTATTATTTGTTTATTTGAGGGGGACAGAAAAAAAAGCATTGTTACAAATAACCCACAGTAGTCTCTGAGATCATAAACACAAGTTCACTGTGTCATTCAGCCAACTTCAGCTCAGACAATATAGACCTTGTTCTAAAGTCCAGAACGTCGTTGACTTTATTTGCACAAACTTTACTCACGTGGTTTTTGATTGTGTCACTCCTGTTAATGATGCTAATGAAGCTGGTGAGATGTGTCATTCAGCCAACTTCAGCTCATCATAAAGCTTAGAACAGTCACATTTTTCAGTCTGTGCTGTTGGCCCTGGACTAGTCTGGGGAAATAAAGTGGCTCTTACTAAAAAGTTTGGACACCCCTGCCCTAAATACATTTACATAATGATTATAAAAACCCAGATTACACAGTGCAATTTACAGAGTTCGCTTCCTTCAATATTGTTTTAAAACAGTCACAATCTTCTCAACTTGAGACTAGGGCGACATGACTAAAAAGTAAAATCTCGATTTTATTTCCTGCTTTGGACGATTTCGATTTAAATCGATTTTCAATAAAGTCCCCAAAGACAGACTTTGCCCTAAAAATATGTTTTGATCTTTCCGCTTAATGTTTCAAAACTATTTCTAATTTGTTTCCCCAATACGTATTAAAAAAGTCTGGTACAGTCTGTGCTGATGTATAATTCATGTGCTGCTGGAACTCTCTATATCCATCATTCCATTTCACACTTTTTACATTTTTTCCCAAATTCGATTTTTTCAAAAGCCGATTAATTGGCTATATTCGATTTATTGCCCAGCCCTAATTGAGACTAATTTGGGCTGGTTTGTGCATTATTTTATTAGTTTTTCATCATGCTTGGAAGCGTGATGGTCTACGGCCGTGTGGGACTTCTGTCAAATCTGTGAGGAGTGAATGGAATCAAACATCTAAACTGTAAATCTCTTTGTGCGACCGTGCTCCGTGAGTTGTATCAGTTCAGGTGACTTACTCACAGGATCCACTTCTGCCTTAAGCCACAGGCCGTGCATTGATCTGTGGGTTACAGTTCCTCAAACACACAGTGAGACGGAGCCCAGGGTGGATGTGACGGAGCCCAGGGTGGGTGTGACGGAGCCAGGGTGGGTGTGACGGAGCCCAGGGTGCATGTGACGGAGCCCAGGTGAGTGCGGAGCCAGTGTGACGGAGCCAGGGTGGTGTGACGAGCCAGGGTGGGTGTGACGGAGCCAGGGGGTGTGACGGAGCCAGGGTGGGTGTGACGGAGCCCAGGGTGGGACGGAGCCAGGTGATGTGACGGAGCCAGGTGGTGTGACGGAGCCAGGGTGGGTGTCGAGCCGGTGTGACGGAGCCCAGGGTGGGTGTGTGAGCCAGGTGGGTGTGACGGTGCCCAGGGTGGGTGTGACGGAGCCCAGGGTGGGTGTGACGGAGCCCAGGGTGGGTGTGACGGAGCCAGGGTGGGTGTGACGGAGCCAGGGTGGATGTGACGGAGCCCAGGGTGGGTGTGACGGAGCCCAGGGTGGATGTGACGGAGCCCAGGGTGGGTGTGACGGAGCCAGGGTGGGTGTGACGGAGCCCAGGGTGGATGTGACGGAGCCCAGGGTGGGTGTGACGGAGCCAGGGTGGGTGTGACGGTGCCCAGGGTGGGTGTGACGGAGCCCAGGGTGGGTGTGACGGAGCCCAGGGTGGGTGTGACGGAGCCAGGGTGGATGTGACGGAGCCCAGGGTGGGTGTGACGGAGCCAGGGTGGGTGTGACGGAGCCAGGGTGGGTGTGATGGAGCCCAGGGTGTGACGGAGCCCAGGGTGGGTGTGACGGAGCCAGGGTGGGTGTGACGGTGCCCAGGGTGGGTGTGACGGAGCCCAGGGTGGGTGTGACGGAGCCCTGGGTGGGTGTGACGGAGCCAGGGTGGGTGTGACGGAGCCAGGGTGGATGTGACGGAGCCCAGGGTGGGTGTGACGGAGCCCAGGGTGGATGTGACGGAGCCCAGGGTGGGTGTGACGGAGCCAGGGTGGGTGTGACGGAGCCCAGGGTGGATGTGACGGAGCCCAGGGTGGGTGTGACGGAGCCAGGGTGGGTGTGACGGTGCCCAGGGTGGGTGTGACGGAGCCCAGGGTGGGTGTGACGGAGCCCAGGGTGGGTGTGACGGAGCCAGGGTGGATGTGACGGAGCCCAGGGTGGGTGTGACGGAGCCAGGGTGGGTGTGACGGAGCCAGGGTGGGTGTGATGGAGCCCAGGGTGTGACGGAGCCCAGGGTGGGTGTGACGGAGCCAGGGTGGATGTGACGGAGCCCAGGGTGGGTGTGACGGAGCCAGGGTGGGTGTTACGGAGCCCAGGGTGTGACGGAGCCAGGGTGGGTGTGACGGAGCCCAGGGTGGGTGTGACGGAGCCCAGGGTGGGTGTGACGGAGCCCAGGGTGTGACGGAGCCAGGGTGGATGTGACGGAGCCCAGGGTGGGTGTTACGGAGCCCAGGGTGTGACGGAGCCAGGGTGGGTGTGACGGAGCAGGGTGGGTGTGACGGAGCCCAGGGTGGGTGTGACGGAGCCAGGGTGGGTGTGACGGAGCAGGGTGGGTGTGACGGAGCCCAGGGTGGGTGTGACGGAGCCAGGGTGGGTGTGACGGAGCAGGGTGGGTGTGTGACGGAGCCCAGGGTGGGTGTGACGGAGCAGGGTGGGTGTGACGGAGCCCACGGTGGATGTGACGGAGCCCAGGGTGGGTGTGACGGTGCCCAGGGTGGGTGTGACGGAGCCCAGGGTGGGTGTGACGGAGCCCAGGGTGGGTGTGACGTAGGGCTGGGACAACGCGTCGACGTAATCGGTGACGTCGACGCAAAAAATACACCGACGTATAATATGCGCGTCGGTGCGTCACACACAAAACAAAGATGGCGGCGAGCGGTAGCAATGCGAGTGCCGTGTTAGAGAAGTGCAAGCCGGTGTAACGCTGAGATACACTGCCTTGAAGAGATGCACTGCCTCAGCTGTTTATCATGTAATGCAAACCTGCGCATGCGCGTCTCACGGCAGCCGAAGCATACCAAGATGGCGGACCGTGAATTTCTTTAAAAGTTAAAATACGAACAAATTCAGACACGAATGTCACTTTTAATGCAATTTGAGGCGAGATGTTGATGGTTCCGTTTTGTCACATGTGGGTTTTAAGAGTCAAAGTTTTGTGCAAAGTTTAGTTTAAGCAGTCAACTGCGCCTGTGAAACCACAAAGCTAATGTTTTCTTAGCAGTCCGCGGCTGCTGACGTAGGCTGCTGACGTAGGCTGATGACGCGTCCTGTGGCCACTCTGCAGCTTAAAACTAGTCTGTCTTTCTTTGTATCAAACGGAATATTGGCGCCCATAATAGCCCCTACATGTATTATTCACTGTCATGCCCGCCGTATATGGACATTTTTCAACATGTGTTCAATATCCTTAATGTGTTTAACTGTTGATTGATTCTCTGATCTGTGTTGGTGACTTCAATGTTGTTTTAAGTCCTCTGAGATGACTTCTACTGTATTCTTTCAGTAACTCTAAAAGAAAGGATGACTGGTTGACCTTTTTATTTGCTACACAATGCAATGTTTTTCTCTTGTACACTCTTACTTGAATTTTATTTTTGAATTTTGAGTTTAAGAAAAAGGTGAGTGGCAGAGTTTTGACTGTTATTTTTATATGAATGAAGAATTTAAGAGATGCACTTTAATTAATGGACTTCAGTAATATAGGCCTATGTGTCTTCAACTTAAATGTTAAACTCTGTTGGTTCAGGAAGGACGCCATGACAGGCTGATGGCTCCCACTGTTTTTGCTGGAAAAGCACTCTTTGTTTAGCTTAAAGCCTTCAAGTTTACATTGGTTACTGTTTTCTTTTAGTTGCTCTACACAAGTATTTGGCAGAACTTTTTCATATTTTTATTGAATGCTAAGCATCAAATGTTTGTTTCAAGAATGATAAGATGCACTTTTTTCAGTAAGCTGTGTTTTCAAGGCTTTAAGGTTTTATGCTACCTCTAAGAATGTCTTATTTTTGAATTTTAAGAGCAAGCAATACATATTTTTTGTGAAGGAATTCATGTTTTTTTCATTAAAATATTTAAATCAACATGTATACATCAATATTAGTCAATTAATGGGGAGATAATTGAGAATCGAATCGAAATCGAATCGAAGCGAAAAAAAATCGTTAGATTAATTGATGCATCGAAAAAATAATTGCTAGATTAATCGTTTAAAAAATAATCGTTTATCCCAGCCCTAGTGTGACGGAGCCCAGGGTGGGTGTGACGGAGCCCAGGGTGGATGTGACGGAGCCCAGGGTGGATGTGACGGAGCCAGGGTGGGTGTGACGGAGCCCAGGGTGGATGTGACGGAGCCCAGGGTGGATGTGACGGAGCCCAGGGTGGATGTGACGGAGTCCAGGGTGGATGTGACGGAGCCCAGGGTGGATGTGACGGAGCCCAGGGTGTGACGGAGCCCAGGGTGGATGTGACGGAGCCCAGGGTGGATGTGACGGAGTCCAGGGTGGATGTGACGGAGCCCAGGGTGTGACGGAGCCCAGGGTGGATGTGACGGAGTCCAGGGTGGATGTGACGGAGCCCAGGGTGGGTGTGACGGAGCCCAGGGTGGATGTGACGGAGCCCAGGGTGGATGTGACGGAGTCCAGGGTGGATGTGACGGAGCCCAGGGTGGATGTGACGGAGCCCAGGGTGGATGTGACGGAGTCCAGGGTGGATGTGACGGAGCCCAGGGTGGATGTGACGGAGCCAGGGTGGGTGTGACGGAGCCCAGGGTGGATGTGACGGAGCCCAGGGTGGATGTGACGGAGCCCAGGGTGGATGTGACGGAGTCCAGGGTGGATGTGACGGAGCCCAGGGTGGATGTGACGGAGCCCAGGGTGTGACGGAGCCCAGGGTGGATGTGACGGAGCCCAGGGTGGATGTGACGGAGTCCAGGGTGGGTGTGACGGAGCCCAGGGTGTGACGGAGCCCAGGGTGGATGTGACGGAGTCCAGGGTGGATGTGACGGAGCCCAGGGTGGGTGTGACGGAGCCCAGGGTGGATGTGACGGAGTCCAGGGTGGATGTGACGGAGCCCAGGGTGTGACGGAGCCCAGGGTGGATGTGACGGAGTCCAGGGTGGATGTGACGGAGCCCAGGGTGGGTGTGACGGAGCCCAGGGTGGATGTGACGGAGCCCAGGGTGGATGTGACGGAGCCCAGGGTGTGACGGAGCCCAGGGTGGATGTGACGGAGCCCAGGGTGGATGTGACGGAGTCCAGGGTGGATGTGACGGAGCCCAGGGTGTGACGGAGCCAGGGTGGATGTGACGGAGCCCAGGGTGTGACGGAGTCCAGGGTGGATGTGACGGAGCCCAGGGTGGATGTGACGGAGCCAGGGTGGGTGTGACGGAGCCCAGGGTGGATGTGACGGAGTCCAGGGTGGATGTGGTCCTGACTCGCTGATGTCCTTCCGTCTCTGCCTTCTGTGGTGACGTGATGGATCCATGTTGGACCCGTGTCTGAGTTAATGTGGTTTTGATGTCAGCTCTCCTCCTGGTCCCTCCTTTTGAACCGTCCAGGGTCCAGACCACACTCCTCTGAGCAGGACAGGGTCCAGACCACACTCCTCTGAGCAGGACAGAGCTCTGAAGTCCACAAGTCACACATCAAGAGGCTGTGACACAAAATAAAACATCTCTCTCTCTTTGTGTCTCTATCTACTGTATACATCTCCCTAACTGTCTGTCTGTCTGTCTGTCTGTCTGTCTGTCTGTCTGTCACTCTCGCCTCTCAGCAAGAAGGTCCTGGGTTTGAATCCCGGTCTGAACGGGGTCTCTCTAAGTGGAGTTTGCATGTTCTCCCGGTGCTTGCGTAGGCTTCCTCCGGGTACTCAGGTCACCTTACATTGTGTGCACCATGTGCACTTGTATATTGTAAATAGTAACTGTAACTGTATTTTAAATTTATTCTTTAGAAGTGTTTTTATTCTTATTTTTATTATCTCTTTCTGACTATTGCACTGAGCCAAAGCAATTTCCAAGTCTGTGACCTCCTGTTACTTACGTGGCAATAAAAATGATTCTGATTCTGTACTCTGGTTTCCCCTACCACTAAAAACATGTCACTAGGTTAAATCCTCCAGCTCTGGTCCTGACCAAGCCGAGCATCAACATCTGGAGATGGGTTCCCGGGCGCTGTTACTACGGCGACCACTGCTCCTGACGTAAGCCTTAGTGGCATCAGGATCTGGGTCAAATGCAGAGGATGAAGTGCTCTACCTTTACCTTTACCTTTATAACCGCCATAATTCAAGGAGATAAAAAAGAAGCTTTTCAGCCTCATCACGTGACCTTAGAAACGTAAACATTCTTCATGGTCTTTCTCTACCGTGTGATTTAGAAACGACAAAATGAGCACTAAAGCCCACACAGAGGGATTCCGCGGCCTCTTTCACCTTTAATTGTGGACGACCTTCGCCTTGGACTTAGAGAGTGGTCCCCGGAGTGCAACGATTGATTTATTTTTTAATGGGAAATTCCAGTTTTTCTCTCTTTCCTCCTCCTCTTTAAGTCTGTTTTAAAGACCTCTTCTCTCGCTGTGTCTTCATCCCCCGATCATTGCCTTTTAGATTTGTGAAAGTACAAGGAACGAGGCGGCACGCTCTGAGCTCCAGCCCAATAATAGTGTCAGCGTGATGGACCCCAGAGAACCATCGGCGATAATGAGAAGGAGAGATGAAGAGAGGGGAAGAAGAAGAGGGAAGTCTGCCTCTTGGACTGCGGTGGTGCTGCCTGTGGAGCGCAGCGGGGATCATGAAGGTTAACAGCAGATGGGAGACGTACGCTGCAGAGAAACGGCTTGGGAAAAATAGCAGTCATTTTCTCAAAGGAGGATTGCTGAGACTGTTTCGAGGCCGTGTTGCAATTTTCAACCAAAATGCAGCCACTACATGCTGCGCTGGAGAAATACATATGATTACAGTTATGGTAGGTCTGTAAGAATGGTTGTGGACCCCCGAAGAAGAAAGAAGATATCTAATGATAGACACAACTATCTACATTCTGCAGTGATTCAGACTCAGACTTTTTGGTTCTTGGTCTGGTTGACTTTACGCTCGGGCGACAGTGGCTCAGTTGTCCTTGGGCAAGACACTTAACCCACTTTGTCTATACAGAGCGCGGAAGTAATGTTAGCTGCAGGCCTTGATGTGTGTCTGTGTATTCATCCAACCTGATATTTCTCCACTGTGGGATTAATGTAGACCTTGTTCAATTTTTAATTGGACCAATTCTGGTTTACTTCCAAAAAATCCAACAAACCATGGTTTATTTGTGGAGATTTGAAACGACCAAACAAGTCCACAGCGGTTCTGTCGTCACATAAGCCACTGAGAGAGACCGAGAGAGACCAACTGTCCGAATGTGGTTCTCCTGAGGGGTGTTTGTGTGGCATTACTACTGTTATGGTGACTTACTGTACACAGGTCTCAGTAGAAAGTAGAGAAGACATAACTGAAATGAAATCTGGAGCAAGGTCTTCACTTTTTAGATCTCAACACACTGTTAATGCTACTTTTCTATTTCATTATTCATAATTGTGTGGGATTGTATAATCTTGCGGTATCTTTATCGCTCCTTTTGCACCAAGACAGAGACACGTCATCCCAAAGCCGTACAATCTTCAGACGAAAATGTTGTTCGAGGCCTTACGTAAATCTCCAGGCAACACAGATGAAAATATATCTTTTGCATTAGAGATTCTGTTAGTGCTATTTTTACACAGCGTGAACTTATTGCAAGACCTCGGAAAGGAGCTGGATGCACATGCAAGAATGCTTTTTTTATTGAGTCAACGGTGAGAGAAGCTGTCATTTTCATCCAAAACTTCAAATCCAGAGTCCAGCTGAGTCCACACTTACAGCAGAGACCCCTGGGACCCACAGCAGTCGATAACAGACTGCTTCGTTCCGCATGACTCACTCCATGTATTTTCTTTATGGATTCCACATTTTTTTTCCAAAGTCGCATTATTGTAAATACTTAACTAGCGCATACGGCTCAATGTGCCTCGTAGCGTCGCTCATGTGGGAAACACAGTCTGCCCCCTGCTCCTTTCTATGCAAATTACTCTAATATTACACTCTCAGTATACACGCAAAGTCAGACCATAGCCTCAGTATTCTTGGGTTTCATTAAACTGGCCTGTAGGGGGCGCATGAGCAGAGATGGGACAGTGTTTTGCTCCCATGTAAAACCATGTAAAGTCTGTTTTGGAGTCTAAGGCCCTGTCCACACGAAGTCAAGCTCAGGCCTAAACGCAAAAATACTTTATCAATCCAGTGTATCGTCCATACGAGGCCGGCGTTTTGGGGGGGTGTAAACGAACATTTTTGAAACTAGGTCCCAGAGTGGAAAGATTTCAAAACTCCGTATATGCCGCTCCGTGGTTACTGCCTCTCCGCAATGTATCTGAGACGCTTGCGTCATCGCCCCGCCTCTTGTTAAAGCACGTATGCGCCGCACTCAGAAAATAATGACAACAACAATGTAGCTTGTTGGTTTTGTAATCCAGTGTGACCCGAAGCAACAGTTCAACCTCATCGTCCGTCCATACTAATGTAGTACCAGCTCGCCCACTCGCCATGTTGTCTGTTTACAAAATTCCGCGCATGCCCACGGAAGTTTGGGCTTGATCCCGTCATTGCGTCACAGCGCCACCAACAGGTCTGGCATAGTTTCACAGCGTTTTCAGGCGTATTGACTACATTCATATGGACGCACACATTTACTGAGCTAACTCCGTGTTTACAGAAAAAGTTTCTGAAATTATAAGCGTTTTGTCTTCGTGTGGATATAGCCAAAGGATCTCCTCCTGTGCGGTGTACGGTTGTTGGAACAGTCTTAATCGGGGACACTCAATTCTAAGGGAGCACTAACAAATATTTATCAAAAGAGTCTTGATTTTGGGCATTTTTTGAAAAAAAAAAAACCAGAAGAAAATGCTGCTTTGCATTGGGGTGGCCTGCAGGGGGCGCTTATCTGGGAAAGCCTTGATCCACCTCGCCCGCCTCATTCCAGTGATTTTTTGAAGTGTCCTCCTTTATATGAGACCACAGTTGGAACATGAACAAACTCTGGTCTTTCTCTATTTGTGCGGTTGCTACAAACGAACACCGCACAAAAAGATGGCATTTTGACAGCGCTTCTTCTTCTACTATATCTCCGTGTATAAACCGCTTCTTCTTCTACTATATCTCCGTGTATAAACCACTTCTTCTTCTACTATATCTCCGTGTATAAACCACTTCTTCTTCTACTATATCTCCGTGTATAAACCACTTCTTCTTCTACTATATCTCCGTGTATAAACCCGGCAGACTGCACCGCCAGGGTACAGTCTGTCCTGTCCTACGTTTGTTATTCGCCACTGCCCTGACGTCAAATGAAACCCAAGAATCTCAGTATACATACAGACTCCGACCATAGTCAGTATACATACAGAGTCAGACCTAGGGGTGTGACGATATATTGTGATATTGATATATCGCGATACTTTCTCCCGCGATTCGATTATCGATATGCATTTGCCAAGTATCGATATCAATTTTTTTTTTCATATATAAAAAAATAAATAAAAAATTGTATCAATACTTTTATATATGGATACATTACGCATCTCCATTCCATTTATCACTCAACATTTTTCTTTTATTTATGCCATATATTGGCATATAGTATATTTCTGACCAATATATCGAAAATCGTCATATTGTGATAAAATCGTTATCGTGATATTATCGTTATCGTGAGCTTTGTATCGTGTATCGTATCGTGAGGTACCCTTAGGTTCCCACCCCTACTCAGACCTCTCTAGTCTCAGTATACATGCAGACTCAGACCTCTCTAGTCTCAGTATACATGCAGACTCAGACCTCTCTAGTCTCAGTCTACATACAGACTCAGACCTCTCTAGTCTCAGTCTACATACAGACTCAGACCTCTCTAGTCCCAGTCTACATACAGACTCAGACCTCTCTAGTCTCAGTCTACATACAGACTCAGACCTCTCTAGTCTCAGTCTACATGCAGACCCAGACCTCTCTAGTCTCAGTATACATGCAGACTCAGACCTCTCTAGTCTCAGTCTACATGCAGACTCAGACAGCAGTATACAAATGGTTTCATAATCACATATAAATCAGGGCATTGGACATAAAAAATACATGATACAAGCAAGATACTTAGAAAAGATGAACTATAAGCAATGTACGGCACAAGTCAAAGCATTTTTCTGGAAAATGGAGCAGTCACATGTGTTTATGTCACTTCATGAACCTTGAACTGGAGGAAAGTCCGGCCCCCACAGCATCAAAGCCACACTGGCCCTCAGCTCCTCTCGGTGCCCTACATATGTGTGTGAGATGCATGGTTTGATGTTACTAGCTTCAGAACAGCTTGTGCATTTACTGTTTGTAGATAGTGAAGCTGGAGAATGTTAACACCACAAGAAAAGGAATATATGTCGTAAAATCCATCTTACTCTGGTTCAAGCACTGCTTTTCAAACGCATGTGTTTTCTGGGCTCTGTCACGGCTTTGAGTCAACTTTTTAAGGAGAGAAATGGGAAAAAGAGAGGACCACGCTCTTACAATATGGAAGAAATAACACGTTTTGTAATAGGATGAACCTTTTTTACTTTTTAAGATTTCTTTCTTTCTGTCGAGTTAAAGCTGAGGTTAGGTCGCCCAGCTTTATTACTGAGTCTATTTTATGTATTCATTTATTTGACAGGTACAATGTAGTCATACACAGCTGATGCTAATTTACAACTCTTTCCCTACAGTGCACCACACGGCCACTGGTGCTCGTTCTGTAGCTTAGGTCCTGGATCTACAGCCCGTCCGTCTGTGGGAGCGGATCCCTTTCTCAAACTATGGGTCTCCCCGAGGTTTCTCACTTTTTTCCCATTAGGTTTCTCTTATGAGTTGTTCCTTGGCGATGCAGGAGGGTCTGTTGGGCAGTTAGTGTCCTATTCTTTATGTGTTTTAACTGATGATTCTCTGATCTGTGTTGGTGATTTCCATGGTTTTGTTAAGTCTCTGAGATGATGCTGCTGTGATTTAGGGCTACACAAGAAGAAATTGCATTTTATTGTATGATACAGAAAGAATAAAAGAGACACAGCGCTAAAACACACATACAACAGTGATCTAACATTAAGGCCTTCTCCCCAATGTTAAACACACACACACACACAAAACATGCACAATAGGTCTGAGTGAATGGATGGTGTTGGGTCGGAGGTT